AAGACATGGTATATAACACCATATTCTTCATAATTTAAGTTGGCATTTTATTAAGTATTAACAATTAAATTTGCTTGGAACTAATTACGTGTCAATTTGAATGTTGTAAGGGTTTATATTTATCTAAAGCTCCGAGGAACTGTCATGAGAAACGTGAGTCCTGTTACACTCTAAGGAGGTTTCAAATTCTTGGTACAGAAGGTTCCTCTCAGTGAACAGCAGCACAGTTCAAATTCCTGCAATGAATGTGGTTGATGCACAACCACTGCAGTAAAACTTACAAACTGCTACTAAGAGGCTAAACATTTACAGCAGCACAAGGATGACAACAAAACAACTCTATCTAAAAGCAGGAGTCAGAAGATGAAATTCATGTCTTTCTGGACCCTATATAGTGCCCCATTAAGTTATTGTTGCGATTTGATTTATTCTGCCATTCCTCTGAGGGCACCAAAGGTCTTGACAGCTATTCCTGAAACATCAATTTAAGGAACTGGCAAAGAGCCTACCCAGAATGGTGTGTCAGACTGCTATGTTGGTAAATATCCATTTTTAAAAAAAAAAAAAAAAGCTTTTACAGCTAACATTGACACATTACAGCACTGGGCAGTACTCTGAAACAATTACTAAGAGCTTCATTCTCTTAAGTAAATAAAAATGGTGAGAATGAAAAAGTATTTTCAGCGTCTGTCTGGCCACAACATGTTGCTCACATTGTATACAGTACGATTTGACCAATGTCCAGTTTAAATCTCTGATAATTGATGATGACTAAAGAGACCAATATCCACTTAGTAACCCTGCAGTAAGACAAAGTTATAAACTTTTCCATCCATTCCATCTAATGTAGAATTTCAAATCATGCAAATACTAATTCTGTTTAGAGAGTCGGGTAACTTGTTCCAAGTTCTCTGCTTTTTATATTCACCTTTACTACTCTTTTCTAAAGGCCCCAGAATTAAATGGAGGTAACAATGAAGAATTAGCAGAATTGAGGATTATCCTCAAGCACTGCACATATTCCTAAATTCTAGTAACTTCAAAACAGAGGCATAACTTGGAGCTTTAAATCCTACTTCCTCAGCTAGAACAATAATTGGCAGCATGACACATCACTGTGATACTCTTGACTGAAACAAAAGCACAGCGGACCTTTTCAGCTCGAGATACAGCATCTCCTGGCCAAACTTCCAGCAAGGGGATGAGCTTTAGAACAGAATAGACATAAAACTATATATGTGTATATATATGCACACATGCGCACTTACCCACATAGAGTTTGATTTAGATTGAAAACTTCAACTCACTGCATTAAGATATGTTTGCTATGAAAAATATTGACTAAATTATGAATTAGTATATTATTTCTGAATAAGAATTCTTGCTTTGCCTTATGCTCATGAAATATTTCTTAATTTTCTTGTGGTTTATTGTGATTTACTAAAAATAAGCAAAATAGTGAATCAAAGCATACAGCATTCAAGTTATCAGAGAACGTTTTCTTCAGATGGGTAAAAAATTATGACATTAATTACAGCAACAGTCAAATCTTCTAAGCCAATGCCAAATGCCTTCAATTGGCAGTGTTTCTTAAACACAAGAAAGTCATTACTTAAAAAGATAATTACAAAAATCAATAAAAATTTGACAGTTATTGGAATCGACAACAGAGAACAACTGAGGCACTGAGAGCACCAATATTTCTTGCCAGCAGGCCTTATTTCTTGCCAAAGAGGATTTCACTGGTAGCAGGATGTTCGAGGTGCTTGGGTATGCTCTGCCATGTCATGAGAGAGATTAGTATTTCTCAGATTACAGATGTACTTAGCATTGATTCTAGTCATACAAAGTTCAGCTCAAGATCACTACAAGGAACTGAACTCCTCTGTATTTTTTGCACTTCTTTCCCTTGCCTTCCTCCCTCCCATCACTTTCATTTAATTTAGGTCCCTTTGCCTAGAAAGATTGATAGAACCACCCAGCAACGTGTCACTATTTCCTAAAAGATAAAAAAATAAAAAATAAAAAAAATTAAGGATAGACCTTTGACCGGAATAGACTGTCTTTAAGTGCAAAATTCATTCCTAATCATATGCTGTATCTTTTCTTTCTATACGGCGAAAAACAGGGCAATACACTAGTAGTCTTGGAATGTCTCCCCTTTAACGTACCCTTTCACACCAGGTTTACAGCAGTATCATTGGTCCAGTCACATACTCAGTCTTAATAAATGTGTTTTCTCACTTTTTTCTGTATTCAAATCATCTTCAATAAGAGTACTCTATGCAGAGAAAGAACTTAACCAAAAAAAAAAAAAAGTAAATAATAACATAATTCTTAGTATAAAGGCCACTTCCCTGGCCACACCACGCCAACCAAATAATTGCCCTGCACAAATACACCTCCACCCTATGTGATAGCTGTCAAAGATACTACAAAAGCTTTTTATTTTTTATTTAAATAAAGGTGGAAGGGACACTGGACACTTACCAAGCAGTAAAAAGCTCGGGTTTCCTCTTCCCTCCCTCCCCCCACTTTTTTTTTTTTTTTTTTTCCTTAAATGGTGCTGCTCTTAAGTCACAAATGAAGAAAAGCAAAAACATTGTCATTCTTCCTCCAAAAGCTAAGCAAGAAACACAAACGAAGTCAAGGTCTGGAAATAAACTGTATTACTTATAGATTATTCAACTAAGCAACATGACGAACATCAGCTCTCTAAAGCTGATTAACCAAGGGAACCATTTTGGTAGTTTAAATTAGTATGTTCATTTGACCAAAATTTTGTCCTCTGATGACACATCTGAACTAGTTCTTCCTGCCTGTGAAGGAGATTTAATTTGAATGCTGGTTGGCATACGAGATATGCAGGAATTAGACACCTGAACAAAATAGATGCATAGAACTCAGTAACCATTATATTATGCAGTTTTGTCTAGTCAAGTACACCACAAGATCTAAGTCTTTTGTAAGTTCATTTCACTTTTAGGTCATTTAAAAGCAGGACTTCTGCTTTTACACTGAGAAAATTAAAGAGCAGTTCCCAGGTCCAAATATTTTCTGGCTTACGGCCCAGAGCCTTTGTTGCTTCGAGATGAAATAGTGTAAGCTGAAGAAAAGGAAAATAGGAATTGAGTGCAAGAAGAGACCTTTACCAACAGCTACTGTTAGCTTCCGTTTGAAATGACCTCAAATGTTGCAGCATGTTTCATCTCTTCATCTCCTATTCTTAGGCCCAGAAGCAGGATTATGTACAAACAGAAGGAAATGGTAACATTGTATTTTCATATATCTCATCACCAACCTGCTGCCATGAGCAAAATCGGAGCAGAAGAAAAATTACAATATTCCAACTGTATATAGTTTTTCTTACAGATAGAGGACATCAATCTTGGTATCCAACTTGTTTTCTCTATGAGAGCTATTGTTTTGCAACTGCTTTCATCCTCTACATTAAACATAAGCCTTCCTAAGGCAGCTGCGTACAGATGAAGAGGCATAACTTTAGCATTTTGCGTACCATCTTCTGAATTTCACAGAATTTCACCACCTTTCTGAACTGCTGTGTAATAACTAATTAGAAATTAGTTAAGAATTTAAGAATCCTCCACAACTCTTTCACAACTGTGGGCTGAAAGACATTATTTAAAAAGAGTTGTCAAACCCTGATTTCAAAAGTTAAATATTTGTCTTCCCAGAGGAGACCATTAATAAAAGAGCTAAAGAGTAGCAGCTCCTTCATTTATGTATAAATTCAAGCTTTTTCAGAATACCTATAATATACATATCATATCTCTATTGTAACATAATATCATACCATATCAAGGGAACTAAGCTTACCTGTTTTAATAGTAATCTAACCTTACCTTCTAACCCAGAGAATAGGAAAACCTTCCAGTAAATATTGAGTTAAAATAAATTAGCCACATTCAATTTCTTTTCATTTCTCAAATCCAATCCTTCTTTGGGAAATGCTCTCCAGGAGTGAAAGTAAGAACTGGTTTGATCTGACACAGATCAGCGTCTTCAGATTCTTTGCCTTCTGCAAAGGGAGGCTAAGAACTACACTGGTTTTGTTTTTATTTGTTATTGCTATTAGACAGTTGTTTTCATCATGGAAGCTTTTATGAAAGTTTCTTTGACATTCTTTTATGAATTCTTAAATTTTGTAAATTGTCCAGAGTTGAGGCATTACAGAAATAAAATACAATAATAAATGAGCTTGTAAAACATCTAAAAATAATTACGGTCTCAGTAAAGGTGACTTCTAGATACATGTATAGGACTATTGGAGAATACAGTTCATAAAAATTAACTGTGATAGCTAAACCATATGAACGTTTCCATTATTCCAACAGCTCTACAAAATACATATTAAAACACATCTGCACACAAGACACAAGTTATTGTTACACAGTGTACCCAGATGTATTCGGCCAGCTCAGTTATTTCATCCCATAGATAAATGTGACAAAGGTAACACTGGTTTCCTTATCATTCAGCTTGTAAAATTAGAAGGTCAAAATGAAAGTTTTCTGCAGAAGGAATAAGTAATGTCTTCAACAACTTCACAACTTCACATTTGTATCCATGGAAGAAAAAAAACCAACCAAACAAAAAAAAACACTTGCCTGAAAAAGTTACCCAAAAACTACACAGGCTCTTTAGCAACAGCCTCGCTTTGATTAAATTTGGTGCAAATTTTACCACTACTGTCATTGGAAACAGCATTTTCTATTCTTGAAGCAATGATTAAGTAAATGTAATAAGAGCTTTTATTCTTTGCCTTCCCAAGCAGTAAGTTTGACATTAGTATTTTCATTTGTCTTTTGTTTCTTCATAGATGTCAGTTCAGCCTATCAAAAACTAAACCAGCGTTAAAAAGTTTATATCAGTTCTTGGCATTCGTACGCTTGCTATGCACTATTGGTCCACAACTGACTATACAAAATTATTGCTTTGCAGGTATAAAGCTAAAAGAAACTTCCAAACCTTGGACTTACCTGCATCATAGTGACCACATGACATGGATTCAGCAGGTAAATGACAGTCTTGGTAGCAAACTTGAACCCCACCTCCAGCCCAAAGATGAGGCACAGAGCCACCAGTAGCAGATTTTTGCCCAAGCTCTCCTGCTTAGCTTGGGGTTGCCGTAGCAGATGACCCTCCAGCTCCCTGGAATGCAGCTGCTTCAGCTTCCACAAGGACAAGAAGATCTCCACAAAACCCACACTGAGGAAGACCAAGCTCTCCAACAGACGCTGCTGCCCGGAGAGGAAGGCAGCACATTCTGGCCCTCCATTGCCAGCAAAGCTGGGGTCCACGCCGCCGTACAGCCAGTCCAGGAGGTTATGGAGGCTGTAGCGGGACATGGTGGGATAGTGCCTCTTCTCCTCCCTGTCACTGTCCGGAAACAGGTAGGAGCAGGACGGTTTCAAAGCCAAAATGCTGTCGGGCTGACGAAACATGAAACGCAGGGGCGTCCCCTTGGTAAACTCCTTCCCTCCGGAGCTTCAGCCAACAAGTCGGCTCAGAACAAGGCTGGACGAGGGGTTTTCCTCTAGATGCCAGGGCAGTAACTGCAAGCAGCAGCCTGCAAGGGGAGGGAGGCTTCACATGAATGAACGTGGGCACGGAGCAGCGAGGCCAGCCCCGCGCTGAACTCTCACCCTCCCACCCCGTGAACGGCCCGCGCTCCCGCCCCG